TAGAGATAGGGATCTTGCTATGTTGCTCAGGTTGGTCTCAAACTCCTGGGCTCACGTGATCTGCCCTCCTTGGCTTCCCAAAGTCCTGGGATTACAGGCGTGAGCCATCACACCTGGCCACATTTTTCTGTATATCTAAAATAGTTCTAAGATTAAATGCTTGTTTTTAAGAACAAAACATATCTACCTACATTTTTCCACTTCTGACCTGTCATGACCATTGTATCATTCAACATCATTTATGAAATATTTATGGGAAACTAAATGTAAACTGGAGAAAGTTAAAAAAAAAAAGACTTTCCTGCCTGGATGCTGGTTTTGAGGATTTTTTTTCCAGAATCACATCTCTGTGCAGCTTCCTCTGAGATAGGTCTAGCAGAGCCTACTCTTTCTGAGTAAAATCCAAAGCCATATCCTCAAGGGTTAACATTTCCTAGGGAAATGTACTGTCAAGAACTCAGTCACCCCGTCTTTCTCTGTAATCTCACCCAGGGACCATCTGAGCACTAAGCCAGAAAAGCAGAACCCAGATAGATGGAAGCTTGAGTGAGACCATGATGACACTGAGGTTGGGGGCACCACGTTCCAGAGCTCAGAGCTTCTTTTTCTTTCTAGAAAAAGCCAGGAACCTGTATTTTTAATGAGCCCTCTACTGTCCAAGCAAGTCTTAAATATTTAAACAACTGTGTTTAAATTCTAATTTCCTTAGATTATATAGCAAAACCTCAGGATGACCTTTCCTAGCCCGTGGCCCAGGTTGCAGCATCAGTTTTATTTTCTTGTAAATCTCTGTGCTTGTATTTCCAAAACACTCATTACATTTTATTGCTATGACTTTTTCAGTGCCTGCCTTTCCCACTAGACCACAGAATTCATGATGGCAGAGGTGTCTGGTTTTTTCTCTTTGTATCCCAAGCCTCTAGCAGAGTACACCTCCATATTTGTAATATAAGTGAATAAAGATAACCTCTCTCTTTCACTCACTCAAACACACACATTAAAAATACAGATTTATTTCATCTGATAATGTTGGAGAAATACAGTTTAGAAAAATACATCAATGCTCTCTGCTAAAGACTTTGGATAAATAAGAGAGAGGCTTATTTACATTAAATTGTCATTATTCTCCTAGCATTTGGGTAATGATTATCAAACACCAACTTTATAAGACAAGGTAGTGGTTAAGAACAGCTATTCCCAAACTAATGCTGTATCATTAATTATTTTAAGAAAACAAATAAATAAAAGGGGTCTAAGAAACTTCTTTAGAGTGTCTTTAAGATCAATTTAAACAATACACCAAGGCCATTACAAATATTGCAAAATCTTAAGAAATAATACATTTAAAATGCAAATGACAAGAAGGTAAGAGTCAAAAGAATAGAAGTAGGCGGTTGTAAACAGACTTCCTGCAACTCACGAAAATGTCTGTTCAGACAGTAGGAAAAATCTGTCTATACTACAATTGCCTAATTTTTTAAAAAAGTACTAGGAATAATTCTCCAGGCATGGATAGCACAGATCAGTTAATTTACAAGAAATAAGTTTTAACCAGAAAGAAATGGACAAACAAGAATTTCTAGCAAATGAGACAACATTACTGGATTTTGGCAAGCAATCCATTTATTACTCTGAGCGGTAGCATTCCTATAAGAGGAAGGCAGAGTAAATGTATACAAATTTTGTTTCATAAAGCTATCCAGAAACCAATGTCTTAATTAAGATAATCAAACATGATATCTTAATTAAGAAAGAAAATGTAAAGCAGAATTAGGATTTTGTTACTAGGAGCAGTTACCAATGAGAGTTATGCTTCTAAACCCATGTAACAGGCTGGAAATATAGCTCAAGGCTTTAAATCAAAAGGCCATTTTGAAGACAACTATACCACTTGCTAAATATAATGATGTGCTCTTAACTTTTAGCACTCCCAGAGTACACTTCTTGTGGTTTGTTTCTGGTAACATTGCATTTACCATTCTGTAAGTCTGTTTGTCTCAGGAAGGTGATTAATGCCATTTCAAAATATTTCAACAATCTTAAAATATGGGTTTTTCTTTACCAGTTTAGCACATTTCTTATCGTAAAACAAAATATTACATAACGCTTTTTATATTTGATCTTTCTCAGTAGGCTCCAAGTCAATGAACTTCAATACTGCCTCCAGGCAAACAACTTTCAGGTTGCCAGTGAAGTCATTACTTCATTCAGCAATCATTCTCACACGGTCTTAGACATCGACATTCCTTTTTTAAAAAAGAAATGTTTCCCAGGATCTGAGATTACTTTCCCAGGGTCAAGAAAAGTCCACATGAATAATAAAAATACTGCAGTTTCAAATTCTGGGAACGTAAAGCTGCCTACACCTATGAATCTGGGCTCTAGAGACCAAATGGCTGACACTCCCAATATCAAGCACAGTGTGATGAGCTGAGAGTTCCCTAACAGGGGACAGAAGACATGTCCACAAATGACTATAATGCAGGGAAGAAGCTGTAAATGCTATAAGAAACAAACAAACATGTTATGAAATTTCAAATGAGAGAAAACATGGCTAGGTTGTATTCATTGTAACTAGTGGCATTGCTAGACATTTTGGAAATGAATAAACTTGGTTAGCAAAATCACTAATGGGGTATATTTCAATCTGAAAAAACTTTATAGAGATGGATAGGCACTACATATAACTTAATTCATCCTATTTTCTCATTGAAAAAGAAATGGAAATATTCCTTACATAGCTTTACTACTTAGAAAAACATTGCTAAGAATACAAGTGGAGACATCGCTGAGGAAAAAAAAATGCAATGTGGGAAATATTTGCTCATACTATTTTGCTTATTACAGAACTACTTCCAATGTCTAGCCTTCTTAGTTACATTCATTACTAGTCCTCTTATTACTATTGACACTATTATGTTTATATGTATGATATTAATGTCTTGGTTCTTTCTACCAACACTTACCAAGCGCTTATTATATGCCAGGCAGTATACTCAGGATTAGGGGTACAGTGGTGAATGAAACAAACCTGGTTGTTACTTTCATGAAACAACTACACTAATAATGACATAATCACAACTGTGAAATGATAGCAAGGAAAAGTATAGGAGGCTTTCTTGCCAACAGGTGTCAAGAAAGTGTTTCTTGAAGAAACGGCATTCATGGTGAGACCTGGAGGATAAGGAGGAATAAAGCCAGTGGAAGGAGTGGAGGGTGGGTAGGAGTGTTTCAGGAAGTAGGAACAGTATGTTCTAACGGTGAAGGGCAGGCTGGACGGTGTAGAGGAGGGGAGAGCGGGGAACAGATGAAGCTTGAGAGACTGGTAGGAGCTGGATCAGAGCCTTAAAGGACATGCTAAAAATTCTGAACCTCATCCTAATAGCAAGGGTTTTCAGCAGAGAAGTGACATGTTGACATTTACGTTAAACTGTTGCTTGGGCTGCCACTGGAGTCAAGAGTGGCCTGGCAGGAGGCAAGGGAGCTGTGAGGAAAAAGGGTGGGAGGGTGGCACAATTCGTGGTCCAGGGGAAAGTGGGCACACTCCTTTCACTACAGGCAAACAGAGCTTTGCTTTTTCACTTTTGTGCCTCTGTTCATGACCTGCAATGTACTTGACGATACCTCCACATTATATAGATCTTTCAAAGTCTACCTCTGATGCCACCTAGCCTCTTCTAGGTGAAAATAATTTCACTCTTTTCAAAATTTCCAAAACTGATGATTTGTAATTCTCTTAGTACTTTCTGCTTTGAGCTATAGTTATTTGGACACACATCATATGTTCCCTTCTAGGCTATTGCCTCCTAGAAGGCAACAGGAGTGTCTTATTTGTTTATAGTTCAGATCACAATAAATATTGGAACCTGTACTGCTCCAACACAGAGAAAGAGGAGGGTTTTTGTTTTTTCCTGAGGCATTTCTTTTCTGTTATGATTTAGGGGATGATAATGTTTGGTGGTGTGAGAAGAGCAGGAAAAGATGTGCCTATTTTTGTCTTTGTTGTTCCCACAACACCAGTCACTGGCTCACAGTAGCAGACTGAGTTGTTAACCCTGTGGAATGCTTGAAACTTACAGCATACCCAGAATCCTGAATTATTAAATAAAAAGGCAAGAGACAGGGCAATAGTTTCTTTTTCATTAATGGCTAGTGTCCAAAAACCAAGAACATGTTATTACATATTTTTCATCTTTGTCATGGCCTTGGATACCCACACCTGCCGTGAGCTGGGGACTGAGGATGGCAAACATGGAAGCTCATGTTGCTCTAGGCTGGGCCACCTGTCTAGCTTGTTTGTTGCCTAGTTAATCCCCAGGTCCCCAGAATTATGCTGCGCCCCCTCCTTCCCAGTGGAGGAATTATGCTTGCTCCAGTCCCTGCTGTCTTGCATCCAACAAGCATCAGGATGTTTTAATTGCTAGGGGCCTCCTGGTGACAGGTTATCTTACAGAGATACAGAAAATTCTAAAACTTCATAGTACATGTAAAATCCAAGTCAAAGGTTTTAGTAAAAAAGAAAACTCCATCATAGAAGGAGAGAGTAGAAGGGTGGTTGCCAGGGGCTGGGAGAGTGGGAGAATTGGGTAGATAGATACTTGTCCAGAGTATAAAGTTTCAGTTATGCAGGATGAATAGGTTCTGGAGATTTAAAGGACAGCAACGTGACTATAGGTAATAATACTGTATTGTATATTGAAAATTTGCTAAGAGAGTAGATCTCAAATGTTCTCAACCACAAAAAAAAGTAACTGAGGTGATGTGTTAATTAGCTTGATTGTGGTAGTCATTTCATAATGTATATGGGTACCAAAACATCACGCTGTATACCTTACATATATAGCTTTTGTTAATTATACCTCAATAAAGCTAGAAAAATAAAAATAAATACATAAAATTGAATAAAGAAAGAAAACTACAAATGTATCCAGCAAATTGTTCATATTTTGAGCTTGAATAGTACTAAGACAACAGCATTCACCGTTACTTTCTGGGCTTACCTCTTTAGTAACAGTAGGAAGCAACAATGCCAAATTACAGAACTTCAAAGCATTCTGGGTTTCCTCAAGATCAGTATAACACTGGAAATGAGAAATAACCAATATTAAATATAATCATGTTTTTATGTCTTTTATGGGTTCAAAGCGATCTTAAAGCAAAACAGTGGTCTTCATTACCTTTGCTAAGTACATGTAGTTGGGAATAGAATAACCAGGGCATAGTTCTTCAGCCTGATTGAAGAGAAAAATACAAGAGAATAACAGGGCAATATTAAAATAATAATCACAAGTGAAGAAAATGTATTTTAATAAATCAACTATTTTGAACCAAACTGCCCTAAGAATTTAGGTTGGTTGTTTCACATGTCAATCACTTGATCAGTTTAAGTATCTTTTGGGAGAAAACATAGCTTTTGCATTTAGCCATTAAAATAAAATTGATTGCCATGATCATAAAGCTTTTAAAGCAATGAGATACTTTGTGGTTTTCAGATTTCTTTACATAATCATTTTCCTTAGTCTTCTTTCTTTATCCTTTTATTTTTAAGAACAAAAATAACTAGTGATATGCCTAGGACAAGTCCCATCCATCCATCCATCCATCCATCCATCCATCCATTTATCCATCCACTGACAGGGTCTTGCTCTGTCACACAGGCTTGAGTGCAGTGGTATGATCTTGGCTCACTGCAACTTCCGCCTCCTAGGTCCAGGCAATTCTTGTGCCTTAGCCTCCCGAGTAGCTGAGATTACAGGCGCCTGCCACCACTCCTGGCTAATTTTTGTATTTTTAGTAGAGACAAGGTTTCACCATGTTGGCCAAGCTGGTCTCAAACTCCCAACCTCAAGTGATCTTCCCCCTCAACCTCCCAAAGTGCTGGGATTACTGGTGTGAGCCACCACTCCTGGCCTCACTATCTATTTAGAAAATGAGAGTAGTGCATTGCTGGTACCCCATGGCAAGCATCTTCCACTAAATTAATATTTGATTTCTTATGATTTCAACATATTCCACAGGAGTTAAATAATGTCTGAAGTCCATCACATCATGGACTGTTAAAGGAAAGAGATCCTTGAAACAACCAGTCCAGGTAGTAGATGTGAGTATTATAAAGGTACTTTTCTCCTATCTACTATTTTTTCATGTACCAGTTTCTTTGTCTCTGGGAAATAAGAATTCTTTCAGGTATGGTATCGTTACTAGACAGCTCTTCTTAGAACCTACGTCAGTCTAGCTTCAGAGTCAGCTTTTGTTGTTTTGAAGGGCCAGGCAAGCAAGCTTACAACCTGCAGTCCCCACTGCAGGGGGTGTAGAACATAAGATAAAAAGATACTTTTAAAACTTTACAAAAATATGCTTGTTTCACAAGATATAAACAATCTAGACAGTTCCAAAATTAAAAAGCGAAATTAGCTCCTTCATAATTTTATCCTCAACTTCAATCTCATGCCCCAGGGGTAACCACTATCAACAGTTTGACATGTGTCCTACCAGATTCTTTGCCAAGTATAGGCAAATAAAAAAAACAGATGTTTGGTTTTTGAAAATAAAACAAAATGGAACCATTTTACATATATATATAATTTACATATATAAAATTATTGTCAATTATACCTCAGTAAACCTAGAAAAATACAAATAAATACATAAAACTGAATAGATTTACATATTGACAGAAAATCTACATATTGGCCCCAAACTTTTTTTTCCCATATTACAAACACATTTTCATGTTAGCATACAGATACACCTCATCATTTTTAAGAGCTGTATTTCATATTCTGCATGAAAGGCAGCATTCCCCATTGGACATCTTGATTTATTTTCAATTTTCATTATCACCACTAATAATCAATGAACATACTTTCCCCCATATTCTTGTTTACATGTGTGTTTGTGCCTATTAGGAAGAGTCCCAGAAGTTGAATTGCTGAGTCAAAATAATATATTTTTAAAGACAGATACTAATGAAGATGAATCCAAATTAGAGTGCTGAGGAATGGTCCAACATCTTATGAGAGCACATCCCTTGGAAAAGACATTTTATTCTGTACAGAATCCAAAAGAGAAGTGTTTTAGAAGGAGGAGGACAAAAATCTCTTGGGGTAGGGAGCCAGACTTGATATAAATCTTTAAGACCAGGTAGGTTTACATTGTCTGGACATGGAATGGAACCTGCTGGAAAGACAGAAAAGCTACCACAGATTAAAGGAAGTGGTCAATTTCAACCAAGTCAGAGCCTTGACCATCCAATAGTGCTATCCATGGATTCTGGTTCTCCTGCTTCTTTTTTTTTTTTTGTCTAATCATTTCCATTTCAAGGTCTCTCATTTGATAAGTGCATTTCTTGAGCCATTCTAATAAGAGGGACTTAAGACCGAACTTTATTCAGTTACACCTTCTTCTATGCCCAGTAGTTGCCTCAGCTCTGTCCAAATCCCATACTGGGGATAACTTGCCCCAATAAATGCATGTAAACAGCTTATTTTTTAATGCTGGCATTTTAATTCTGCATATATACCTTAAAACCTATGTTTAGTTAACTAAAGTGATTATAAATCAGAACATCTCTTTCTGTTCTTATGGTTTAAAAAACTAAAGCCCAACAGAACACAGACAGGCAACTAACAACACTGAATTCCTAAGGTAAAAGAGATTCTGACCTTTCACAAAAGGCCTTGGGTGAATTACAAGTGATGTAGCATTATTCAAATGCTCATGTTTCAATGTAATGTTCCAATGATGAGGCAGTTTCTAGAGAGGCCCTTAGAACACTCTTTATCATAACACCTGGCAAAGAATATTACACGTTTAATTTCTCTTGGCTATCCAAGTTCCTTGAAGGCAGGAGCTGTGTTGGTCATTTCTGTGTTACCAGTATTTGATGCCATGTTTGGTACTAGTAATGTGCTTAATAAACACTGTTGAATAAATTAACTCTTCTTTAAAACATCTTAGAAGCTCAAGCAGAAGCCTTATACCATATCAGGACACAGCAGAGAGCTCTGCAGCTGGGGAAACCACTAGTACAGACTCAGAGATCATATGCTTGCAAACAGTAAGGCAATCAGGGTAGTCTGTATCCCAACATTGCCACACCTGTCATTTACTACACACATCTCTCCTCTGATCCAGTGGTTTCCAGCTATGCCATCAGCTGCCATTGGAATAAATAGCTTTATGATCATTAAAAACACTGATCAAAGTTTAAAAGCACATACCATATGACCCAACGATTCCACCCCTCGGTGCTTACCCAAGAGAAATAAAGTATGTCCACATCAAAGCTTGCATTTGAATGTTCACAGAAGCTTTATTCAAAATAGCATCAAACCAGAAACAACTCAAACGTCTAACAGTAAGTTAACACAGAAACAAATTATGGTACATACATATAATGGAATACTACTTAGCAATGAAATGGAACTGCCAATACACTCAATAAAACGAATGAGTCTCAAAACATTATGCTGAGTAAAAGAAGCCAGATACACACAAAAGTACATGTTGTATGATTCCATTTATATTAAATTTTAGAATGGGCAAAACTAATTTATAGTAATAGAAGATCAGTGGTTACCTGGGGCAAGAGGCAGGGGAAATTAACAGCAAAGGGGCAAAGATAACTCTCTAGGATAATGAAAATGCTCTCTTGAAATGGTGGTGGTTACATAGATATATAAGTGTGTCAAGCTTCACTGAACTGTACACTTAAAATGGGTGCAATTTATTGTTTATAAACTATACTTCAAGATACCCAGAGGTTCTATAACAATAAGGCTGGGTCATGGCCTGGGCTGACATTTTGTAAAGTGCCCCAGATGACTGCAGTGCACAGCCAAGGTGGAGAACCACTGCTTTAGGGAATCATGCCAGAATTTTGGATGAGGTGGAAAGCATGCTATAGTTTGCAAGAATTTTCCCAGAGGATTCACAGATGACTCCTACAGGTGTCTAAAACTACCTCCCTAGATGCTTTGAGGCTGTGGAGGACCAATTTTCTCCTGCTATAATAGCAAAATAATAGTAGCTAACATTGATTTTTAGTTAGAACATTTAACATGTTAGACCCCGGGCCAAGAATATCAAATGTATTATTTTATGTAACCTTCAAAAAAACTGTACAAAGTAGGTGTTATTATGGCCATTTCACAGATGAAGAATTCGAGAGTGTGAGAAGTAAGGAAATGTGTCCAGGTCATACAGGCAGGAAAGGTTCAGGTCTCAACTTCACTCGTCTGACTCTAACATCAGTGCTCTCAACGTCTATGGGACGCAGCTGGATGGCTCTAGAGACATTCCTGGCCCCTGTGAATGTTCTTTGGAGGGGTGAGTTTGGGGCAGGAGTCCTACAGTCTGGGTCCCATCGACATGGCCTCCTGTGTTGTAGGACCCAGGAGGTTGCAGATTCTCCTGGCTGTGGAAGCCAGGGTCTTTGCTGTTTCCTTTTCCTCGCCTCCACCTCCCAGATTTCTTAGCTCCACCACAGCCTTAGCCTCAGTACTCCACGCCCCTCAGTCCCTTCAGTCGTTCTAGGAAATATGCCGAGAAGCATTCCTGATGCCTCCTCAGGAATGTATTTTCAGACTAAAGTCTAAGTCATGATTTAATGTGGGGCTCCCCAAGATGGTTTTCCAAGGTGTTTAAATTTTAATGAAATTAAAATTTTGTGACTTTTTACCGAGGACTTACTGGGCACCAGGCATACTCTAAGTAATTTACTTGTAGGAATGCAGATAATCCTTACAATACCACTGTGAGGTAGGTACTATTATCTTCATGTTATTGATTAAATTGAGAGAGAGGTTAAGTGAATTGCCCAATGTTACTCAGCCGGTAAGTGGTAGAGCTGAGATTTAACCAGGTAGTCTGGTTCTGGAATTTGCATTCTTTACCTTAACAATATTGGGCTACTTACCACTTTTGATTTTATCTGTGTATTATTTTAGACACATTAGCATCTCAAGAACTTTTCTACAGAGTTCTGAAAACCTGCTCCTCAATTACAACTTTGACATTATGAGGAAATGAGTTTTGGGTACAGATAACATTTTTGCTGGTTAACGTGGCATCTTTTATATAAATCTTTTATCTCAGATATATCATAATCTACATTTGTATACAATTTAAAATGAGGAAACTAATTTTCAGTGGTAAAAAAAAGTGAAGAAATGGGAGTGATACAGTCTTAGCCTTCGCTCATATTTAAATCAAATCTTTGATTGCCATTGTGTGAAATGAAACAAATTAATTTCCTGAGGTCTTGACTCCCTTTTTAAAAAACATACAAAAAAGGGATCACATTACATAAAAAATAAGAAATGTATAGCCCTTTTCTTTTTATTTTTTAAACTCTTTTCTGCTGGGCTTGTGCTTGATTTCAGGACACTTATGTTTTCACTTGAGGCAGCCACTGGCCACTGGTGGTGAGAGATAGAAAGTGAGAAGAAACCTACTTGCCATCTTAGACTACGTGATCTATAAATTCCCTCTTAGTTCTACAAAATCGATCCCTGAAATACAGCACAAATATTAGCATGCACAAGACATTTATTATATTTTTGAGAAAAAGTCACGCTCTTTTGGTTAGGCTGGAGTGCAGTGGTGTGAGCATGGCTCACTGCAGCCTTGAACCACTGGGCTCAAGTGATCCTGCTGCCTCAGCCTCTTAAATAGCTGGGACTACAGGTGCATGCCACCATGTCCAGCAAATTTTTTATGTCTTGTAGAGATGGGGTGTTGCTATGTTGCTCAGGCTGGTCTCAAACTCCTGGCCGCAAGCAATCCTCCCATCTCAGCCTTCTAAAGTGTTGGGATTACAGAAGTGAGCCACTGGACACAGCCTTATCTATATTTTTATAAACTTGAAATAAGTAGGTTGGGAAGGAAAACACATTTAGTAACTATAAGATTTTGAAGGTGGTTCAAGAGAAAGGATTATTACCCCAACAGGAAGTTGATTATATGGGTGGCTATATTATACATTTACATGTGTGTTCATACACACACATATTACTGCTTAGAGTTGTATTAGTATAGCGATTATTTATTTTCAGACAGAATTGAGAATACTGATTTGGTCTGATGCCCCAAGAATCTTCCGGAGAAGTGTCTGCAACTTTAGGAGATGCTTTTAAAATAACTCTTCCTTTTGGCACTTTTATTAAGATTAAACTGGTTCTATGTTAAGCTAATCAGGACTACTGGGTCTAACTATGTCTAACCATCAGGGCATGACTGCTTCTGCACATGCTCACGTGACTTGGAGAGCTGTTCTTGGACTTAGTAGTAAAGGCTGTCATACCTAAACTTTCATTTAGGCTCCTGAGTTATTTTTTAAAAGTAGCTTGTAATTCCTAGAATCTAGGGCATAACTAGCTGATCTAGGAAGTTTAGATTTAAAACATATTAATAACTTTTATTATGAGAGGTTTAAAACAGAACACACCAACACTAGGATTCAAACTAAGGCTTCACATGGAGAAAAGATTTCTTTGACGATGGTAGCAGGGATTGGTGCAGATGGTAATCAGTCTGACACTAAAATAATGGACAGACAAAATGTACCTTAAGGAAACTGTGTAAAGCTTCTTGTACAGTTGAAGATGGTACTTTTCCAAACAGAGTAGCAGCCATTTTTTTCTCAATCCAGCTCAGTTTGGAGACCTGCAAATGCACAACAACATCACTCTTAGAAGCTGTTCACCTTTTGAAGGGATTATCTCTCCCCAGTTAGACGTGTGTGTGTCTGTATATAAATATATACAAATGTAAATATATAGCCATAAATAACATATTAGCGATATCACCCTCATGGTATTAATGTTAATATGTTACCTTCCTTTTTCACAATTCTAAGGAACCATGGGCTCTAGAAGCACTGGTTTCAAAACCATCTTGAAATACTCTTGATAAGAAGATTTGTGTTGAATCAGAGGAAAAAGGAGTGGAGTGGGAAATAATGCTGATCCTGTTTGTTCATCTGATTCCGCATTCTGAGGTGACTACGGCATATTTCTTCGTACAGTACATAGGAGCTACAGGACTCTTGCCTTTGCTCTCCTTTTGACTACTCCATGCTGCCAACAGACCTCCTGACCCAGAGGAGCATCTCAGGTATGTAAATAGAATAAGAATCCTTAAGCCAGGAGTGTAGAATGGGGGCTCAGTATATATATTTACAATCCAGAAGATTTTTAAAAAAATCAATAACCACCAAAACTAAATTTCATATTACCATTGGTTTTTTGCTTTCTTCTAAAAAGTTTTCTTTTTTCTCCAAATATAAACATTAGATGTTCATTATAAAAGATTAAACTGGCTCAAAATGAATACTTAAAAGTGTATTGACCCAGTTGATGCTCTGTCCAATCCCATAAAGTATTTTCATTCTCAGTCCTATCATCTAGATTCCTAGGTAGCCAATATCCTCCTTTTTTTTTTTTTTTTGACAGTGCCTGACCTTGTTGCTCAGGCTGGAGTGCAGTGGCACGATTATGGCACACTGTAGCCTCGACCCCCTGGGCTTAACAATCCTCCCACCTCAGCTGCCTGAGTAGTTGGGTGGGACTACAGGTGTGCATCACATGCTCAATTAATTTTTAAAATCTTTTGTAGAGACAGGGTCTTCCTATATGGTCCAGGCTGGTTCTGAACTCCTGGGCTCACGAGATCCTCCTACCACAGCCTCTCTAAATTATTTCCTTATTTTTGACATAATTTTTCTTATTGGTATGCTTATTTTTGCTTTGTTTTGAACTTTGTAAAAAATAATATACTGCTTATTTCCTTGTATGACTTGCTTTTTCACATAATGGTATGGTTCTAAGATTTCATCCAGGATAATGAGTAAGACAGAAGTTCAGTCATTTAAATAACTGAAATATTTCATCATTTCAACATACATCAGCAATGTTTTTACCCACTCTTTTGTCAACAGACATTTGGGTCTTTTTCATTTTTTTGCTCTTAAGACCAAGGGTGCCATAGCCATTCTTGCACATGCCTTCTGGAGCACATTTGTGAGTCTCTGTAGGGTAGGCACGATCATATGGCAGGCAAATAGTCAAATTTAAAAGATAATACTGAATGGTTTCCAAGGTAGTCATGCTGATTTATGTTTCCACAGCAAAGTAATAATTCCTGCTGCTCCATAACCTTGTAACACCTCACACTGAGATTTAAAAATTTTTATCAAATGAGTAGGAATAAAATGGCATCTAATTGGAGTTTTCATTATCATTTTCTGTAATTTTGTTTTTTTATTTTTAGTTTAATTGCATTATGGTCAGAAAAACTGCATGACATCAATTCTTTGAAATTAATTAAGACTTGGTTCATGGCCTCATTTATGGTCCATTTTAGTACACATTCTGCATATGCTTGAAAAGATGTCTATTCTACAGTGGTTAGCAACATGGCTTCATATTTATTAGATCCAGCTTATTAAATGTGAGGCCCCAATGTTTTACAAACTAATACTTTTTGTTTCTTGTTCCATTAATTACCAAAAGAGGAGGGTGAAAATACCAGTGCATGGTTGATCTGTACATTTATCCTTACAATTTGGTCAATTTTTATTTTATAGTTTTGAGGCTGTTATTAGAAGCACACTAGTTTATAAATACTTTCCTTGTGAAGTATAATTACTATATAGTTACCCTCTTTATTGCTAGATATACTTTTGCCTTAAAATTTACGTGTGTGTGTGTGTGTGTGTGTGTGTGTGTGTGTAGCAGTAGTCCTCTTTTCTTCATAGGGTATATTCCAGGACCCCCAACAGATGCCTGAAACCATATATATGTTTTAGTTTGATGATTATTTATTTGGTTACTATTTGATATAACTTTTCTACATGTTTATTTTCTACATTTCTCGGTCACTGTGTATTTTTTAAATTGGCTTTACTGAGGTATGATTTATGTAAAATAAAATTTCCTCCATTTGAGGTGTATAGTTCAATGAGTTTTCATAAATGCATACAATCCTGTAACTGCCACAACAATCAGTATATAGTACATTTTCGTCATCTTAAAAAGTTCTCGCATACCCCTTTGCCGTCAAACTCCCTAACCTTTTCCTAGCCCTAGACAACTACTGATCTGACTATAATTTGCCTTTTCTAGAATTTCATATCAATGCAATTAGGTAGTCTTTTGTGAGCTTTCTTGGCATAATGCTTTGAAGAGTCGTGCATGTTGTTATGCTGCTAAGGCTGCTATGAACATTAATATACTATTGAATGTGTGAGCATATATTTTTATTTCTCTTGGTGAATACTTAGGAATTGATCACATATTTATTTATTATTCACATATTTCCATAGAAACATATGAGTTTCAATTGCTCTATATCTTTGCCAGTATCTAGTATTGTCATGTTTTTAATTTTAGCCCTTTCGGTGAATATATAGCAGTCTTTCTCTGTGGTTTTAATTTGCATTTTTCTAATGACTACTGATGATCAATATCTTTTCATATGCTTGCTTGCCACTCACAGACTTTCTTTTGTTAAGTAATTGAAATTTGATCTGGAAAACAGTCAAACATATGTGGAAACACTTCTCTTCTTTTCAATTTAATTTTACACTATAATTAGTGTTGGACAAAATGCTGTAATCAGCATAGGTAATGTTATAAAGACTGCCTGGCAACCTGGAGTAAGAGAAAAGCTCTGTCAAGTCCTTTTGAAAGTTCCAGCATGTCTTGTTGCATGGCCATAACTGTTTATTTTCAGAAAGCAGCACTGAATTTTGCTCATGCTGCTCATCCATTCCCTGCCAATTTCTCTTATTTTGAAAAGCACATTATATATAGCTATTTAATATTCTGTATTCCTTAGTTCCAAAATCTGAAGTCCTTTTAGATCCACTTTTTTTTTTTTTCTGCTGGCAGTCATTACTGTTGGCTTAGTCTATAATTGGTATAGTCTATAATTTTTGACTGTGAACGTATCATTGTTGGGACACTTTCTGTGAAAGTTTTACAAAGCCTATCTAAAGGTACTTTCCTCTACAGAGGATTAGCATGTGCTTTTGCCACTTCCCTATGGCACGAAGATCAGAGTTCATTTTGAATTAAAATTTCTTTCTTGGGCCTTTAAGCCTAGATAGGTAATGTACATTCAAGCTCCAGACACATGTGAGGTTGGGTAAATAGCTTTTAAATCTTAGGAGCATTTCCTGCTTTCAGCTCTATCTTTCCAATGGTTAAGGCTGAGAATGAATTTTCACTGCCATAAGCTTCTGCTGAATAAATTTCATTTAAGTTCATATTTTTTCCCCCCTGGGCATTGTGCTTTTTGAGTCCTAGATACATTGTGGCAGTCTTCAAGCTGCTCTCTGCTCTGCTCAAGTCTGTAGTCCCTCAACCCCAACAAAGGTCTACAGACCTAAGCTTTAGGTCACCAGCCTTGGTAAATACCTCTGACTATCAGGTGGTTTCAAGGCTGTTTTACCAGTCCTTGGAACTGGTATTCTTGCTTTGTTTCTGGCCTTTGGCTATTCTCCTTATCTTTTTTTTCTATAGGTTCTTCCATTGATCTGATTAGAAACAGACATACACACTTCAAACTAACACACACTTTAAGATATTGTGTGGCCAGAAAATTTTGAGTTCTTTAGTCTGCATATGCTGGAAACAATTTTTACACATTTGCTCATACTTGCTTTATTACCTTGGGGGAAGCTGATTCCCCCTGATGGAAAAAGTTTCAACTTCCTCTTCCACAATTCATTTGTTATCTAGGCTTATAATTTGTAGGCAGTAGAGCATACTAGTTAAGAGCAAAGATTTTAGAAGCAAACTGCCTGTGGTGAGTGTGGTGGCTCATGCCTGTAATCCCAGCACTTTGGGAGGCCAAGGCGGGTGGATCATTTGAGGTCAGGAGTGTTAGACCAGCCTGGACAACATAGCGAAAACCTGTCTCTATTAAAAATCCAAACAAACAAACAAACAAACAAAAAACCCAAAAAACAAAAACCAGCTGTGGTGGCACATGCCTGTAATCCCAGCTACTTGGGAGGTTGAGGCAGGAGAATCACTTGAACCCAGTAGATGGAGACTGCAGTGAGCTAAGATCACACCACTCCACACTCCAGCCTGGGTGACAGAGTGAGACTTCGTCTTAAAAAAAAAAGAAAAAGAAAAGAATAAATAAAAAAACTACCTGTGTTTGAATCCTGTTCCACTACTTATTAGCTGAGTCACCCTGGGCAAATTATTCACCTTAGAGGGTTTTTGAAAAAGTGAGTGAGTTACAATATATAAAATGTTTACAGCTATATGAAATGCTTACAGGAGCCATGTACATGTTAGTCATTATTACTACTGCTTTTCATATTCTTTGCTTTTTGTAGTTTTTCTCTACTTTTAATGAATCAATCATTTAAGCAAGAAATACTTGTAGAAGTAGCTTATTTTAAGTGCAAAAAAACCTGAGCTAGATGCTAAAAAAATACCAAGAAGTTTAAAATGTGGACTCTTTCCTTGAAGAGCTTTCAGATAACTTGGGATCAACAGAAAATAAACAGTAAGTAAAACGTGAGTTGTTGTAAGGTAATACAGCCTTAGCAACTGGTGTGCTCAACAGTGCAATATTCAGAAAATGAAGCCATCATTGTGTATTTTACAACATTAAGTAGATCATAAAAATTTGAGTGTTGTAACCATTCTATTATTTGACTTTGCAGTCTTACAACTAGGAAAAAATGAGAAAAACAGATGATATACTGTTATACCTTTTTCCTTAACAAAATGTAGGTTTCCTTCATATGTAACACAATATAAAGAGCATAAAGTTTGGAATTAAATTTGCATTTCAATGCTGCCTCTTTCATTGACTAGTTAAATGGGACTTTGGGAAGGTTCTTAACATCATGAAGACTCAGATTCTTACTTGTTAAAACTGGTATAATAATAACTGCTTCACAGCACTGTTTTAAGGATGAAATGTAACAAGAAATATAAAGGACAGAATGTATACAACAGCAGGTGTTCAATAAAAGCAAACTTCCTTCTTCATCTCTAATTCTCTTTCAGCTGCAATGAAGAAGTTATCTCTTTGCCTACCCTAATTTTATCATTCAAAAATGGCATTTCCCTTTCATAGTAATTTTTTTCACACAGTCTTAATATATATTTTCACATTCTGTAATTTTCTATAAACTAATAATGTCATTTAAGACACGGATCAGCTGCTTTTATTTGAGCTATATCTCTATGTCACATATCCCTTCCAAATTAAATTCCTTAAAAGCAAGGAGTGTTTTATTAATCTCTGTCCAGTTAGTAGTTAGCACATAATTTGTGCTCAGTATACACTGCTGGATGAAAAAAAGTCCTCCCACAGAACTGTGAGTAGTGTACCTAGATACAAGGCATGGGTGTGGATGGTTGATCCCAACCTGAGACAGCCACAAAGGGAGGGAATGTGATTACTGTAAAAAGAAACAAAAAAGCAGGAAAGAGAAAGATCACATATACATAAAATGTGACATATAACATACACATATATATAAATTACAAGTTTATAAATTATAAAATACATATATTATAAATTTAAAAATTATAATGTATAAATTATAAATTCAAATAAAATTTTAACATATGTATTATACATTAAATTATACATTAAAATAAAACTTATATTGCTATTATAATTCTCCCTAAATCAGGCACTGGGTAAAAAATAAAGCAATGAATAAGTCATTGAAAATGTATCCTATAATCATAGTATATTCAAATAAAGTTGATAAATAAAGGCATTCAACTTACAGTATAACAGTATCTTCCTTTGAGGTAATATAGAAAGGGTTCTTCTGGTAAAAGTTTGATTGCTATATCTAGATGTTCCTGAAAGAAGCATCCAAAGGAAAGTCATCTGCCAAGTTTCAGATATTGTCAAATGGAACTATGCCAAAGCCTAGTTACCCAAAAGTGGTTTTTAAAATGTTGTCTCAGTCCTCCCCATCCCTCTCATTAATACATTGAGATCTTATCAATAATTAAAATACCAAAATGATTGCTTACAATCAGAACCAGAACTGTGACTAGGATTTAATAATTTAAATTATTTAAATTAATGTGTAATTTAAAGCCAAAATACTATTATAAAAATAGAAAACATCAAAGTCGTATGTTTGCCTACCCATGACTTGACTACTGAATAGTTACTGATTCTGAGGTGAGCTTACAAATACGGAATGACATGGAATGGGAGATAGTGGCAGAAAAAAATAGCAGAGCTAGATGGGAGAGAAATCTATTCCTCTGGCATTATCAGATGGTTATAGAGAGCTGGAAAATAGGGAAGAACTGTTTACTCATCTCTGTAATTATTGACGTTGAGGGGTTATGTACTGAGCTCTGGAGGCAAATAATACATTATGTGTGTGTGTATTACTCGCTTTATTCATCTATCATGGCAAATTTAAATCCTAGATTGGGTCCTGCTTTTCCACCACCAAATCAATATGCAGAGATTGTTAACTACTTAGTGCTAGTTACACTTATGATATTAGTGAGCTTATGATCAAAAGGCTAGTTCTTTTTTTTTTTTTTTTTGAGATACAGTCTTGTTCTGTTGCCCAGACTGGAGTGCAGTGGCACAATCATGGCTCAATGAAACCTCCATCTCCCTGAATCAAGTGATTTTCCTGCCTCAGCCTCCCGAGTAGGTGAGATTACAGGTGTCTACCAACATGCCTGGCGAATTTTTACATTTTTAGTAGAGATGGGGTTTCATTATGTTGGCCAGGCTAGTCTCGAACTCCTGACCTCAAGCTAGCTGCCTGCCTCAGCCTCCCAAAGTGCTGCAATTACAGATGTGAGCCACTGCACCTGGCTGGCTAATTCTTAATCTTTGAAAAAGCAATACTCATCTATTCTGTGACTTCTTTCAGATTAATAATAATCTTTAATCACCCAAATAATTTCTTTTTGTCATAGTACTATTTAAAGAATATCTTTTCATTTTCTAATGTTTAAACAAACACAAAAGCAAATTCCCAGAGCTGAATCTGTTGAATAATCTGGTTTATACCTGTTGATGGAACATATGGCTATATTAAAACATTTTTAATATTAAGAAATACCCTTCTGTAAATCTGGATCTGAAAAGAAATATTTTACAAAAATACCTTGAAGAGGTGCCCATAGTTGATTTTGTTTTGTAAACCCTCAAACTCAGATACATAGCCACACAAAACTGCATACCTGAAAAGGATAAAAACAGTTGCCATTGCATACATTTTTAATAAATTGCCACCAAAGCATAACATTAAAAGAAACTCTAAAGCATTCATTAATATTTAACAACAGTATTCATATAAATATGAGGGCCCTAACAATAACAGACACTTAACATTAGTGTGAGGTCAGTTCTCTCATCTATAACCAGGGATACTAACAATATTTATATGAATACTGCGAGGGTAAAATAAGCTAAAACAGGTAATGTGATTAGAACAGTGCCTGGGACATAGGGAGTTTCAACAAATGTTACCTGCCACTGTCACTATCATTATTTTGAGACAGAATCTCAAAAGAAACTCTCAGAAAAAGTCTAATCACATTAAGTATTAAATTAGAAAAAATATTGTCAACAGATTTATAACATTAAAAACATTGTTAAAGTCAACTTTAAATAATTTATTCCCTCCTTTAAAAAACAGTTTCATGAGCTCCTTTAATATCAGTGAAAATGCAAATAAATACTATGATTATAACAAAATCAAAGGTAATTTTAGAGTATGCTTTTTCAAAAAATTTCCACATCTCCCTCAACCCTTCCTGGAAACGCTGCATTACTAGAATAGTGCATCCCATAGGTCATTTACTTGTTTCTACTAGGAAAACAAAATTTACATGAATAATTATTTGACTATAAGTTACACACACTATTTGTTCAGCAATTTGCTTATTTACTGGAAACACTGCGGATATGTTTTTCACATTCAGAGCATTTCTATCTGTACAAAAATCTTCAGAGTATTTCAGAGTGTTTTTGTCTAAGGTAAAATATCCATTTATCTAATTATTTCAAGAGTAGGTGTTAATTTTTACTTGCATTGTCATAGTAACTAAGATGAAAAATATAATTTTGGATGTTATTTATCTCAGTCACTTCTGTGAATACGTGTAATTTCCACATACAAAAACCGGTGAACAATTTTAATTTGGAACAATAAGACCATTCCTAGACACAAAAGATGCCATCATTTTAGTATTTGTGTTTTTCATATTTTTTTGGAATCTGCTTCTTTAAAGTTTAAAATACTATCCATCATTTTATGTTTCATAAATTCAAAGGTACCTGGTCACTTTCTCCCAAAGGGTCATTATTTCTTTTCTATCAATCAATTCTTCCTATGTTTGTGTGTGTATATGATTTTTTTTAATACTGCTCATTTAAAATACATAATTTTATGCTTTATTTCTCGAACACTCAGGTTGATAGAAATTCTGAAAAAGTTAATTCACACTATGGTATATTACCTCCATCTAGAGGTCATTCTAACTACATACGTTTTGACAAGAACACTGTATTTTCTTTGCATTGATAGTGAATATATCCATAATAATTGACTATTACACTGTTACTACTAAAACAACTCCATTAATTTCCCTGCAGTATTTCTGATTCAGCACCAATGCTGTTTTTACTATGAAAAAGCAGAGGCAGCATACTGTTAACGGAAAAATGATTAGGTATATAAGAATACAAAACTGGGTTCTAGTTTCTGGTTTTCCACTTATTGTATGGCTCTGATTACTAACCAACACACACCCATGCATGCGCACACAGAGTACCTTGCTTACCCCATCTACAAAGTGAAAACAAGCTGTTCTGTGAACCACAAGCTATAAAACATGTGGATATAATTTGCACACAGTAGAGCATAACAAATATGTAAGACATTACTTATAATTAAGGTCAGGCTTATTTGGCCAACAAACTGCAAATCCTTTGGTGACTTTATTCTCATTCTCTTGATTCCAGAAGTATTAAATACTTTTTGTCAGTACAACAAAAACAACTGAATCTTACAGAAACCATACATAGCTTTAAAATTGCAAAGCCATGTCATTTTAGAAAAGATAGAGATAAAACTAAGTCATTAAAATGGTCTTCATTTTTCAATCATTCCCAAATAATATTAAGCCTTTATGAAAATTATTCTTAAAGATTACATCTTTTGTTTCAAACTGAAGGTTTATAAACCATCATATAACACTGTAAACCACGGGTCTGCACACTTTTGCAGTAGGGCCAGAGAGTAAACATTTTAGGCTTTTGGGTCAGACAGTCTTTTGCAACTACTCTGCTGTTATGCAAAAATGCATGTGTGTGGCTGTGATCCAATAAAACTTTATTTAGAAAAACAGGCAGTCGAATTCATCTGCAGGCCACAGTTTGTCATTCATGCTGAATGAATGAGAAAATATCTTATTAACATATTAATAAACTCAGTCTTAATTCAGTTTTAACAAACTTAAAGAGTACCCAACAGAATAAGATTTCAACATTTTATTACAATTAATTATAAAATCAGGCCACCTAAATTTCGTCCATTGCTTTTCAAGTCAAAGTTTAAATTTCTTTATTCATTCCCTCAAACATCTACAATTTAATTTAAGGAGAACTTTTGCATTCAGTAGGATATAGTATAAGAATTAAGATTAAATTGATATTTAAATTTCTTAAATTTTAATCAACTGAGATTTTAATTTTTTTAAATTCAAAACTGATAGAAATTAGGTAAAACACAATTGGATCACTACTCTGTGTTTTGATAAGATTTAATCTTGGGATTAAATGCTATGGTTATAAACAAAGTGTTTAGTTCTCAACAAACAGTGAAAGAAGATGAACAAAGAGATATAACCAGATTAGTGGAAGACAGACTGGGAAACCCACTAATGGAGAGCTCAGCATAATCTATGCTCACAATATACATTTCAAGGTACTTAATGAAACCCTCAGAGAAAATTCAACATCGTTCCTCTATGAAAATTTGGAAACTCACACTGATAAATAACCTCAAATTAAGGATTTACACCAAATGCACATTTTAAATGTGATTCTTCACAGGTACGGATGCATGTAGGAGAGAAGGAAGAGGACAGGATGGGGAAGGAAGAGCAATAGAGGACAGGGAGAAAGAAGAGAAGGAAAAGGAGGGGAGGGAGCAGAGAAGGGGGAGGTAAGAAACAGGAAGAGTAGGGGAGGAAAAGGAGGAATTGAGAGTTAAAAGCAGGACTTGAGTGTTCTTTCTGTATCCTAATTAAGCTAATCAGTTCCCAAATGCCTCCATTATCAAAGGAGATGAAGAGAGAAAGGCTTGATCACCACAAATTCATTACAGTTACTAATAAAAGTAGAAGGACAAAAGTACTTTAACATGTACGTTAGTTTACTAGTGTTATTATGTAAATTAGATGATCTAGGTAAACCTGGCTAATATGAAAAATAGCCAAGACCCTCTGTACTACGGAAGTGATCTTGAAAATCTGTACCAAATTGCTATCTGGAAAATTACCTTTTTCCCTAGAATTCTGGCAGAAGCACCCAGAATACAAAACAATACTTTATCTATCAGGTACTCCAATCCCTAAAGCAAGATTCTCTACTACCCATGTGTGACATATTAAGAAATTATTCACAGGTTCTACCAGATTTAGCCCTTCACTCTACTCCAGGCTATATAAGAGAAGGCAAAGAATTTGCAGGAGGGAGGAAGAGACTGGGAGTGAGGATTTCTTCAGGGTTGGGGTGCTGTGGGTTCCAACTTCTACCCTCTCATGACAGAGGGCAGGTGACAGGCTTGCATCTCATCTAAAGCCATCCGAGGGCAAAAGGTCTATTCATATTTTGGCATGTGTCCCTTTGAGTCTGGACAAATAAAATGTTACCAGATTCCTGCCCAAGGAATTTTAAGTGAGAGTCTGTGAGTGGAGCTCCCCCTGCTGATAGCAGAGTGAAAAAAACATGTCTCCTTTGGGAAAAAGGTTTGTACTTCAGATTTTGGAGGGGCAAAAATGAGACAAATGTGGACCTGTGGATAGGGAGCCATTTTGAGAGAGATTTTGCCTGAGTGCCTCTACATCATAGGGATGGGAAATAAAATAACTGCAGAGAAGGGTGGATTTCTGGAAACTCAGGGCTGAGGAAAGGGTCATACATTTATTATTGTATTTTCCCACTATCTGGGTTACCTGCATTGCTGGGGAGAAAAAGAAACCAAGGAACTACAAATGTAAAAATGCAACTACAAGTAAAAGGAAGAATAATAATTAAAACAATATATTTCTACTTGTGTTTTATAATAATTTATATTTATAAAATAATGTTTACAAAAACATACAAAGGGTCCAAACACAACACAATTAAGAATGATTTTTTTTGCTCTAAGGATATTTACCTATACCCATCTAATTAATTAAATTCTCTTTGAGCTTTTCATATCATAAATGGCTTTTCCTTGATCTGTGGAATTTGTATATTACGATACATCAATGCTTAAGAAATGGTTGATGTGCTTTTCTATATTTCATTTAGAAACATGCCATCATTTTAGTATTTGTGTTCAAATAAAATGTTATACTGAACTAGATTTAATTATAATTTATCATCTTCAAAGCCAGTAGACTTGGTAGATTCATTCAAGAATTTTTCAATAAAAGTTTCCCTTAAATATATTTCAAAGAATGCATAATAAAAATGTGAATAAACAGAGTAAGAACACTTACGGTGCTATTATATATATTTTTCAAGGAATGTGATTGACAGATTAAACATGCAAGCCAATAATATTTTGAAAAATCTATTTAATTTAGAAAGAGGCAGATTAGAATTTGAAAGACTGCCTAAATCCTATATACTTACCACAGATGACAATGTCCATTCATAGGTGCTCTATTCATTGCTCTTTCACTTAAAGTTTTTCCTGAAAGATAGGAGTACTTACACTTAGTATCTTCAAGTGAGTTGGTAGGAGGTGGATTCTGGAATTAACTCAATGGTTCCCAAATTTCTTTAAATATAAGAGTCATATCACAGTACTTCAGAAACATATTGCATACTGGTATACACACTTTGAGTTTTATCAAAGAATTCTGTACTCACCAGTGATCAAATCTTTCCTAAGCATAACAATTTTAAACATGGTATTATAAGAAGAAATCTATACTTCTTCCTCCCTTATGCTGAACCCCAGCATTCTTCCATGGCTGGTCTGAGACCCTGCCTTGCTCTCAGCTTCAGTGTCATTACCATTACTAAGCACTTACACCTTATATACTGAATATAATTGGCTGCCCCTTTATTATCTTTTCCATAGAGTAGTTCCTTAGGGTTACACAGCCTTCATCATACTTATGCCTCTCCTCTCCCTCCACCCCTGCCCACCACCCTCCATTTTCACACTGTTGCTCGACAAAATAATTTTGAACAAATATTTCTTAAATGGATAAATTAAAGGAATTCTTTTACATTTATTTCAATATCTGAATGAACACATCTGAGCCTTTTTCAACTCCTTTCTCCTTGGCACTATAAACTCTTCTCTTTTTTTTGGATATATCCTATTTGAATCCTATGCTTCATTTTTGCCCCTGAATTCCCTTCAACCTATTGCTTTCTGAATTTCACCATCTAAGACATTAGCTCAATTAAACTCCTATTCCCTTTAAAAATAGAGATCCAGATTGATTTTACCTATGGGAAACTGTAACTTCCATAAGAAAGACTTCCCTGCATCAACCTCCATCCTCTGCCATCATATCCTCCTTTCTGCTACATGGGCTCACAAACGACCTGATC